AACTAATGAAGTTATAAAAAAGCAGCAAAATGCGCAAGCTGTTGAATTTGAAAATTTAATTAAGAAGGACTTTCATACTTTATTCACGTAAAAGCTCACCTGTTTACTTAACTAAGTGACTGCGTCATGTACTAACACTAAACATTAAATAAAATATAAAGAAAACAGTGCGTTTGCACTACATAGTTCCACCTGTCCCGTCGCTTTTAACTTTAAAGTATAAAATAGGTTAATAATCTTACTAATATCATAAATGCGTATGTCTAGATGGATGGATGTTTGTTTGAAGGTATTTGGCATAGATGTAGAACATAGTCTGACAGAAAACATAGGCTACTAATATGCTCTTTTCCTAATTATGTTCTTTTTTAACTCCGCGCGGACGGAGTCGCGGGCAACCTATAAATCGAAGATAACGGGGTAAAGCTGATACATTGAGGAACAAAAAAATAGACATCATAAGAACTATCAAATGAAAACACTATATATGATTATTCATGTGTAGGTCCACCTTTCTATATTCTTAATTTTCTTCAGTACCTTTGTTCACCAGGAACTATTCGGACTTACAAATATTAAAAATGCACCTGTACGTTCCTAATATTAAAATGTAAAGATGTATTTACGTATCATAAATCGAGCATACATTAATGTTTGGAAGTCCCCCCGCAGATATTCAATTTCCATACTACGTACATACGATACAGTTTTAGTGAATACTAAATAGGGCTATTTAATGCAATGGAAGTAATCTGATTATAAACAGGAACATATTTCTGACATCGATCTCTGTACATAAATATATTCCTAATAATATATTACAAACATATTGATAAGTGCAATATAGGGTAAACTACTGCTACCAACATATAATCGTCAGTCATTCTCCTTGAAAACTGAAACAACAGTATCTTATTGTGTACATGTTTTGGCAGTGGAAACACATAGCACACAATATCGATGCATCGAAGGTCATAATCTAACTATCACGTAACATTTGAAGCCGGCATAGAATAGGTTTAAGATAAAAATAACTCGATGACGCGACACCAATAAATTGATTTATCTACTTATATGTACTTGATATCAAACACAATTGAAATAAAAATTGAAACAAGGTACGCATAATAGACCAAACTAACGAAACTAATGGTCGCCCATTGGTCGTAATTATAATCGAATAATGTGTTTATCTAATTAAAAAAGGCTTTAACATTAACTTTGTTTAATTTTATGTTCGCACAATTTCCTTAGAAAAACACATAGTTATCGCTTGATGTATTAATCTTACTAATATTATAAATGCCAATGTTTAGATTGATGGATGGATGGATGTTTGTTTGAAGATATCTCTAGAGCGGTTCAACGGATATTGATGAAATTTGGTATAGATGTAGAACATAGTCTGGAAAACACATAGGCTACTTATTAAGTTTTTTTTTTAATTCCGCACGGACGAAGTCACGGTGGACAGCTAATATTATATAGATTTTTATTTAATTTACAATATGGTAACCAAATAATTATTACATTAAAAACATTTTAATCATCTTAATTTGTCACTGGCACAAAATGATCAAATTAAAAATGAAATTATATTATACAGATGCAATAGAGTTGAGTACTAGATAATAAATTACCGCACATGTGTGGACGACATTAATTGCAAATACGTTTAATTTTACATGGAAGTCGTTGAACCAGATGAACGAGGTTAAATTATACAGAACGACTTTATAAGGATAAGCTATGTCTACATTTATGAATTTAACACTATAGCGTGAGTATTTAAAAACAAAAAATAATAAAAAAAGGCATTAGCATTTGAACATAAGCCATAAGTAAAGGCTTTAATGCGTACTTTAAATTACTCTTTTAACATTTCAGTTCATTTTTAAAATAAATTGTAGCTGTGTATTTGAAATAAATAAACGGGTCAATTGATTAAACCGGCCAAGTTCACGTAGCATTTTGTACGAAAGCCAACTCGGATCTCCGTAAGTTTCTGCACTGCGACTCTAACTCACTTTTAAATTAATTACATTGAATTAACGCTTGTACTGTATTTCATTAATATCTGCTTTTGAGAAAGAAAAAAAAAGGAAAACTTTGCTCTTTGAAAAGTTTTCTACGATTACTAATAATCTACATATATAAAAGAAAGTCGCGTTAGTTACCCTATTTATTTGTCAAGAATGGCTTTACCGATATGGATGAAAATTGTTGAGGAGGTAGCTTAGAGCCAGGAGACGGACATAGAATTCTATTTATTCATTTTTCCCCCAATTTATTAAGTTATATTATACTTGGAATGCTTCATCGAAGAATTTTCAAAGACGGAAGCAAAGGGATGCGGTTCCTGGGTATCCAGATGTGCGTTCTACTGATGCTCAAAGCTACCTCCTCCGCGGAACAGAGTTCGACGGGTCAGCTCGTAGTAATATAATCAGCTTCAGGCAATCTGGACATTTGGTGCACCCTTATGTTATTTATTGCTTTGCTTTGCTACTAAATTCAGGATTATCAGTTGCAGTATGCATATAAAACCGCACCCCACTGCCGCACCTTCCTAAATTCGAGGGAAGGCTCGGTCTCTTCTAAAATAGGGGCTGAATGAAACCAAAACACATGTATTTTCGAGTATATTAAACTAAGTATAGTTGACACATCGTGACCTTTGAATCTGCGCTCAATGTAAGCCTTTTGTGGGCGTTTACGTGGGCATTGCCTAAAATACTGATATAGGAATATTAAATATATGTTTAGCCTTGTCAACATTCGATTAGTTCCCATTTCTGGTGTCAATTTTCACAATTGACATTTTAAAGGACATAAAATATTATCATTTATAGGTAGATATTTATTTCATCAATATTTTTAACCAATAACAGCTGCATTTTGTGCACACAGTCAGTAGCGGCGTTAGGGTAGTGAGGTGGGGCGATCGCCCAGGGCGTCGGGCATAAAGGGGCGTCAGAGTCGGATATAAAGGGTAACATACACATGCACTTCGAACAGCAAAATATGGACTCGCGCTTTGTTATGCAGTATAAGAGGTGTCATATCCAAGGTCCGAGGGAGCCAATGTCCTCTTATCGCTATACATTCCGCAATTTATGTAAATAGGAAGCGATCGAGGTTAGCATAATTACTTTGATTTTTTTATCTACAACTTAGCCGCGATTTCTTGTCTTCTTAGAGTTGTAGAGTATTTCCTTGTTTCATTTCTGGGCAAGGAAATAAATTGCAACAAGGTCCTGTATATTTATTTGTAAGGTAATGATTTCGATTCATAGTTAATCTTATTGAATAATTTAACTATTCTCAGCCTAAAAATATTAGTCCACTGAACGTGGGCGTAAAGGTGACACAATAATTCAGACCTTAGCTGGCCTTCTATTTTCCGACTTTTTTTTGTAAACAAAAAAACGTTGCGATAATAATTGCTAACGTTCCTATTTCTTAAAAAGTTTATATCGCATTATTACACCATTTTTTGTTCTACAGTGCTTAGTCATTTAGGCAAAAAAAAAGTTCGATACTGACCCCAAAAAAGCGGCGCCATGATTCAGAAAAATCTCGCTAAATTCGCGGAATGCGGACGAAGAAGTAAATGGAAATTATTATTTTACAAAAAAGCAAACTACTTTGTATTGAAGAGGGGAAGAAAAAATTTTTTGTACATGAAATATTTGCATGTAAATAACACATTGTAATTTACTACTTATGTGTTAAATCTACTCTAGTTTTATTGTATTTTTATCTATCATTTTTTTACAGAAGTACATCTAGCAAACATGCTATATATTACAATTGTGTGGTAAAACTACAGCTTTACAAAATACAAGTGTGTTATATAGTATTATGTATTTCATCCATTGAGTCCATTCCCCTTTCCAGGATTTAGATCCCAAAGATTAGATTATGTAGATAGTCAAGACAAAGATAAATAGTGTATAAATAACACACTTCTTTCTGTCCATCATCTCTACCAATTAAAGAAATGTAATGCAACTGCATAGTGATTACAAATTTCATAAAACAGACCAGACATATGGTCACCAGTGCGTCTAATAACATGATTGCGTGTACTTACAAATGGAAGAAATGTTCATTGTTTTCACGTAACCATGACACAGATGTTTTGGATAAAAGTAAATAGACTATTGTTGTTTCAGTCTAGAAAAGGTTAGACAAAATCAAAATAAATTTATTATTATACATTTATATAAAATTGTTTGGACTTCTTTATATCACTCATAAATTTATATATTCAATAAACCTCTAGTACATACTAAATACAACTGTTCATAGTAGTTTTATAATGGCAAAGGAATATACATGAATATTTTATACATAAAAAAATTTCTTTATTATTAAATGGCATTTTATTCATGAGTAATACAACAAATTGAACACTTTTATATTATCAATATTACTTTGAAATCTTATTGATTATGTTATTACTGTTATAAAAATATTAGTTTGTTTTATCTTATCACTACCCTCCTTCTTAGGATCCCCCTTTCTTGTAATAAACTTGAGTCAGTGACTAGCCAAATATCCTTTGAAATTTGAAAGCCATATATGAAAGTTTTTACAGATACTTCTATACATAGACAAATATTTTATTTCAAATAAACATATAGGCATTTGTAAAGCTAGGACATGTTACATAAATTCGAATAATTGAAAATGTATTTCTCTGTTGACTAAGTACTTTTATTTTTTTTAGATTCGTAAAAATAAAAATTTCTTATCCCAACTACTAACTGTTAAGGTAAAAACATAAAAAGCGAGCCGAAAGGATCATTTTTTTTGTAAACAAACAAAAAGTAATCAATCAAAATAAACGCAAGGGTATCGATGCAACTGCTGACATGAGTCATGCAATCGTAAGCCCTTTTTGCAAAAATATATTCTTGGTTTATGTTAAAATTAACTTTTCGCTTAGATGTTAAGTAAATCTAACAATTTTTGACTTAAATTTTATAACTTACGTTTTTTTTTCGAAGCTCGAGCAAGTGTTTGGGGTATTTGCTTGAATGTCAGTCTGTCTCACATAAAAAAAGTCGTACAGGCAAAGAACCAAAAAAGGAGTCACTTCACATCACATCCACTAATAGAGCCTATTACGTCCATTTTGTTTGAAATAAATTACTAATTATTTACATCCATGATCACATGTTAAGAAATAAAAGTGAATCCAACTTCTTCCTTTTTCACAAAATGTTTCCCGAAACATGAAAGTGTTCATTATATACACGACAAAACTACTATGCGGCTACCATGACACATAACTAGGAAAACCTAAAATGAATATAAACTGACTCAGAGACTGGAGAAAATGATAAGATTGCGTGAAAACAGGTAAGCATTCAATCATCAATCAACACAAAACAGCCAGCCAGCGAAATAGCCGAGCAGGGGGGCTGGGGACGAAAGAAGCTTACTAACAGTGTTGCTATAAAATGAAACTGGACAAATATAGATCCCGTAAATTGCCATCTTATTATTCTTTAAATAAAAAGTTCTCCTTTGTACACTTATGAAAAACAGAAAGGAGTATAAAAATATTAAAATACATTATTCATTTATTCAACTCTTTATCGATTGCCTATTTTAAATCTTAAAAGGGTTTTTAGTTATCAAAAAAAATACCTTAAGCAGCGCCGACTCAAAAATATGTCAAGCAACACCGTGCAACCAAGCAACCAATGAAAATAGGTGGTTTCGACATCTGTACTTGATTGACAGTTGACATTTGACAGAAGATTGCAGACTGACTTAAAAAAATCATCAATGAACTGAATTCTTATTGAAGTTCGGTTTTTGCTTCTTGTAAACTTATATAAAAAGAACCTATAACCGAAATTAATATAATAAACTTCCAATGCTGTGATAATTTCACCAATAACGATAATTGATAATAAATAGGTAACTATTTTATTGTAATATATAAAATGCAGGTAAGCTATAACCAAGCCTATTCCTAGTCAATCTTAATAGATAACTATAATATTAATATCATATAATAATACATAACTATTTCAATATAAGACACCAACTATAAGCTTTTTGTTTGATAAAGAATTAAACAGTTGACATCTGTTATCACTACACTCGACAGATATTTAATATAAGTGATAATACGATTAAAGGAAAAAATTACTTTTTATACAACTAAAATACAGATAATTATATTAAGTGACGGTAATAAATTTTTTCAACTTAAACATTTCAGAATTCTGCATCAATATTTTGTAAGTTATTAAGCATAAAGTTTGTACGACAACTTAGCTCCAATATGAGTTCCAAACGTGTTGCTGTGTGCCAAATGACATCTGTTGGGGACAAGGCTTCTAATTTACAAGTTGTCAGCAAACTTATTAGTGATGCAAGTAAAGAAAATGTTCAGGTATTTAAGTAATAAATTTATTGCTTTATAAAACGAAAAAAAAAAACTTATAAATCCAATGTAAGAGTTACCTAAGATATTGCTGTGCTAGTTATTGGCTGGCCACTGTAAATTGCCGCTATTTTCACATAGGAGAATATCCTTTAATAATAAAAAAAATGATAGTTTTGTCATGTTTATAATAATTATATTTACCTTTCATTCTAGATGTTATTCTTCCCTGAAGCTTGTGACTATTTATGTGATAGTAAAAAGGATACATTAGATTCCGCAGAGACTTTACTCACTGGGGATACAGTAAAGAGCTATAGAGAGCTAGCTGCAAAACACAATGTTTGGTTATCTATGGGTGGAGTGCATGAAAGGGTGAGATTTAAAGTAACTGTCTTAATATTCTGCTATAAGTCTTCATATATTTAGGCCAAGGTCATTGAGAAGCTGTGCAGTGCCCTCCTCTCACATTTGGCTACATCTAAAATTGTGTTCCAAGTGTGAAGTTAAGAGACTTCAATATATCTTATAACATTTTTACCTATTTGTTTTAATTTTTTTGCTTAAGTAAAGTAGTTGATACACTAACTAATGAATTTACAATGTCTGTCATGTTAATTACAATATTTTATATTAAATTGTAGCCCTTTAATGGTTTAATACTAGTTATCATCATCATCAGCTCACTATACGTCCCCA